TTCAAGCTTGTCGCCATGTTAGGTAAATTTATGTTTTGGCTACACTGATTTTTAGTTGGTGTGTTCTGTAATACGTGAACACCGATAATCTGCACTTTGTTATTAGTTATAAGTGAGTGAGACGCACAATTTCTAATTTCAAATTAAGAACAAAACTTTGACAAACCTATTTGATTTTCCTAGATCTGTTCAGACAGGACCGGTTTTATAAAATTTCTCGTTCTTGAAATGTTATTTTGACATGGTTATATATTATTGGATAAGTGGTTTGTGTACATATTGCTATGAGAATTATAGAGAAATTCAGTGAGATTTATGTAATATAATTCAAATTACAAGTAAACCATCTGTTCCTGTTTGGCAATATGGAGAAAATACCTACTTCAATGTCAAATGTACTATTTAAAAGAATGTGATTGTTAACCGGTCATTTATTTATATTATATTATAAAAATAAAAACTCGAATTTTTTAACTAAGGAAAGATATACTTACATCGGTAACAAGGTATTTTTAGAAAAACTAATAGATTACTCCTATTCCTATACTTTATTTGAAAATGAATAATAGCAAAATTATATAAAAATATGGACCTTTGCCATAAAAACTGTGCTACCAAGCATTTTCAAATAAACTATAATGATAATTTGATTTAATAGAGCGAGTATAAGATCTCACCTGTTAGAGAAATTGGGGCATAGGGAAGAGATTATGAAGCAGGTAAGCAAAGTCATTGCAAAAGATAAATATATAGAAGTTATTTTAAAAATTTGATAAAAAACTAGTGGAACAACAAATGGAGTTGTCGCTATCGGAGATCCAATCAGCAGAAAGTAAAAAAAAAAACTTTGGGAATGTTGGAAAAGGGCACAGCAATAGGCCCAAAACAATTCCTTGGTTTCTTAATAAATATAATCTGAGATGCAAAAAATACTGCTAGAGTGGAGAAGCAGTATTGTTCTAATGTATAAAACCCAGGGACATACAGCAGTGCACTAACCATAAATTATACAAGAGTCCCATCTCGATTTTATTTTTAAATATTTTTGAGAATACCAATTATTATTTGTTACATTGAGTTTAATAAAACCACAGATTTCGAATGTATTGAAAGTTATTTAAAAAGTACCTCTATAAATATATAGAAAATGTGTATATGACTAACTGGTTTTATTAATCTTTTTTTGGGGTAGGTAAATATATTTTGAAAAATTTACAAACTTCTTTTGAATAAAAGACAAAATATTTCTGTTTTTATTAACTGAACAATATTTTATACGAACATAATATTTAAAAGAAAATATTACATTTTACAAGTATCGCATATTTATATAAAATAACTTACTCAATAAGAAAGAATTAAATGAAACAAATTAATAAACAATGGATATGAAAAATTGCTTTAACAATTTAATCCTTAGATAAACTTATTCTTACATATTGCTTTAATCAATTTATTTACTATAAAAGTATATTTCCTATCATTTATTACATATAATAAAATAAAGCATAAAACATACAAACTATAATATGTACCTACTTAGAACGGAACTAATAGTAGTAATAGTGGACATTTTCCGAATAAAAAAAAGTAACGGTCGACATGTTTTTCTGACTATTGGTCTTCATCAGTACGGTGCAGCCAAGTTCAAAGGATCATGGAACTTGTGTTGGAAAAATTGTACAATAGGTCACTAACAAGGAGCCAATAACACATTTGCCGTTTCAGCTAGTATCCCCAAATTTTCTGGGCTTATACTAAAGTCACAAAATGATTCAATGGTCTTCCTATGGCTATCAGTTATTCTTTCCTAACATTTTTTGTTATGCTACAACAAAACATACAAATTATTTGATTTTGTAAATACACAAATATTTGTGAAAACTTACACATGAAATGTTATTCCTTCCTTGTATCTTCTACCGTTAGATGCATTGTTACATTCACGTACAAAACAAAAAGAGATTTTGAAAATCCTGTAAAAATTTAACACCAAACCACAAATGATTTTTATTAAAATAAAACACTAAACGACTAAACTAAAAAATAATGTTTTAAATAAAACCTTTACTAGAAGAACAAAATAAACAACACAACAGATAATAAAATCGATTATATACGTCGAACGCCGATCTTACGCTTATTACTAAACTTGCGCCGATTCTGTCTTGTCAGTACTGCCAACTTAAAATTTATTGACATTTATTTATCATGGCGCCCATCATATGGGGGGTCAAAATGTTTTTACGATGCGGTATCTAGACCTTCTGAGGGCTATGTAATGAGGCTATCTGAAAATTTTAATTTTTTTTTTCTCCGGCCATCTCGTCTATAATATATTTTCTACAACCACAAAGTTGACGTTTTCCGCGAATTGACATTAGGTAATAGCTTTGTAGCTCGTCGAGTAAAAAACTTGACAGCTCTGTCACTTGCCTGGTTTAAATTGGATATAATATAATAATATTTATTTTTAATAAATGATTTTGAAGTTATTTGTACGTAGTTTGATGTTTTTTATTTCATTATCTAAGTTAACAATGACTTTAAATATCAGCTCATTTTTCTTGAATAATGTAAATATAGGCAACATATTATTATACACTACTTACGACAAATTTTTTTATGCCGACTAGTTGCCCACATTTTTTTTCTCACAACAATGGCAGGTGAATAGGATCGACAATTATTTCGTTATGTCTAATCATACTCGCCTTCTAGTGGTGTGTATAAGATTACACAATTTTTGTAGTATGTTACAGAATTTTTTTTTATTCAAAAACAATCACAATTTTTTATTGGTAGCAAAATATATTTAAATGGTTTATTATATTTACATAAAAAAATTTAAATTTAAGAAGACTTCTTCTATATCTTTATGAGAGATTTGTTTGTGCAGAAATTTGTAGAAAAGTGAACTAGTACCCATCTTTCACATCCGGAAAAGTTTAGTAGAAAAGTTTGAATGGTATCGCGTAAGAAGCCTCCTACGTACCCGTCCTCGTTTATTTTCAGAACTTGAGCTATTCAATACGTTAACTTACGCATCACGCAAAATAGATGAGACTCTTAATTATATTTGGACGAAAGATCAATAAAGTTTAACTATGCCCTTTGGACGGCCAGAATGGGATATTGAGGCCCGCAATCGGCGACATGTTATTCTATTTCACACTATTCAATGGCATTGTGTTTCTATAAAGTTCTATTGAGGTCAGGATTGAAATAATAATATTAATAATAATATTAATAATAATATTAATAATAATAATAATAATAATAATAATAATAATAATAATAATATTCTCCCTAATACACCCCCTTACGAGTGAATTTTAACCCCAATAGCTGAGCTTGCCCGGGGAACATGGAGGTTGATATCCACTACCAGAAGCAGTAAACATGATTGAGGTTAACGGCTTACTATGATTTATAATTCGCTCTGGATATTTGTATCACCTCTTTACAATTATATTTGTTTTTCATCTCTGGTCATCAAAATGGTTGGTCTCATCATGTTGCTGGCGGTTATACCTTAAGATAGATCAAGGGTCACGCCATATCGAAAGGTAACCGTCTTGCTGATTTACTAGCCAAGAAGGCAGCCAACCAAATACTTTTTGGAATTGGCCTTTCTATTGGACCGACAACATTGGTAGTGACAAACCTAATTAAATAATATTTCCTTGTCAAATTCAAGGAAAGATGAGATAAAATATGAAGCTGCAGTATTACCAGGGAGCTTCTAAGTTATTGTTCAGATTTGAACATTTTTCTTTATATTTACCTAATAAATTAACATCCTGTATACGAAATTAATTATTTTATTTATTTAAAATGTTTAATTTCATACAGCGTTCCAATTTCGTATCTAGTTCGATGTGTAAATTATAATAATAAAAATGTTGACTTAATCAAAAATAAACTATTTGCAAAACATTGAACGAGGTCGAAATTGGAATAATATGGTTTGAATGTCTATTTAAATTATTAAATAATTGTAATTGTTATTTTTTATTCTTATTGTTTCTGATAATATAAATGTAAATGCAGAACGAAAAATAAAGGAATTGATTAACAACATGTGGTAGTATACTTTACAAAAGTATCTCTGAAATGAGATTCATGAAAACCATCTCATGGTAGTAATTACAAAAAATTCATCTTTAAACAATTATTTTTGAAATCTATTCAGTTATCCTGACAACACACAGTAAATACTTGGCTGAATCTGCGCCTGATCACAGAAATTCTAACTGGTCATTACCAAATATGGAAGCTTCTCTATTACATGGGGCTAATAGAATCCACACTCCCTAGGGGATGTGAACAAGAAGATGAGACCATCGAGCATATCCTCTACGATTTCCCGATGCTCTCATTTATTATAAGATTGTGTTCGGCAAGAATTGGGCAATACCGGCCAATTTAATAGAAGCGCCTCTTGTCGACGGTGTCAACTACATTAAATCTGTTTATAATTCAAAGTAAATATCACCGTAAGTTTATTAGCTATAATGCTATAACAAACAATTTCTAACTTCTGAACTTCATCTTACCAAAGAAAATTTTACAATTAATTTTATTTATAAACTTTTTCAATCTCCTAATATAATTAATAAAATAAAACGTTTCTATCTCTTTATTACTTAAGCTAGAATTACTTTCTGTAACCTTATTTACACCTTTTTGGTGTACACTTTTTGAGATAAACAACCATATGAGATTGTCCTTCTTTCTTCTACAATCCATAGTATCAATGAAAGCAAATAACTGACAGTGATTCTGATTATGGTCTGGTTTTCAGAACTAACAACTACTGAATAATAAAATATTGATAACCTCTATGAGATCAACAGTAAGGCAACCAATTAAATTTAAATAAAAAATGTTCTTTTTAATATTAGGGTTTTGTAATTTAAATTGAGAAAAGCTCACTTTTGATCCTATTCACCTCGATGAACCTATTTACTCCATTCTACGGTATTTATTATTTAAAGGAAAACCGATTGCTCAAGACAACAGGATGGAAGTAACCGCGGAACCACCACGCCTAACTCTTAAATCTTTAACGAAGGAAGACCGAGGCATGTATCAATGCATCGTCAGTAATAATTGGGATCAAGCTCAAGCCATCGCAGAACTCGATATGGGCGATGCCGGACCAGAATTGATGTATTGGTTCTCAGAACAAACTTTGCAGCCGGGACCTATGGTGTCGTTGAAATGCGTTGCAACCGGAAATCCCCCACCTCAATTTACGTGGACTCTGGATGGATTTCCTATTCCTGATCATCCTAGGTTTCTTGTGGGTGAGTACATCTTTAAATTTAATAATTGAGCTATATGATTTATACGCTGCTATATCGTACATTGTAAGTATCCGGATATATTTTAAGTATCCATTTTCAGTACTCGGATACTTTTTCATGTATCCGACTCAACTCTGTTATGTAGAGGTACAAATCACCATGTCTAAATACTCTAGACCAGATCAACATATTTTCAAAATAAGCAGCACACTTTTTTGAATACCGAGTGACAATGATACTAGGACTACGTTAATATAATAGATTACGTAATGTGAATAGATGGGAAACGCAATGGTAAAATTCTGAGTCGATGTGCTAACACCTATCAAATTGGAGTGGCACTAAAATTCAATTTGAAATTTAACTTTATAGTAGCGCAAAAATGTAATGAAGAAAATCAAATAAAGCAAAAAAAAATGGAAAAATATTTGACTAGTTTCAAATCATAAAACAACCATATTGACTGTTTTGTGATTTGAAACTAGTCAAATATTTTGCCAATTCATATCTTTATTTGATTTTACTTTATTAAAATTTTTGCATTAATTTCAAACTTGAAATAAAATGCAATTTATTTTTTTTTATTACAGTAAATTAACGCCGCATCATATAATTTGTCTATTTAAACATGGAAATACTCAAACATGCATTTACACCATTTAAATAATTAAATATTTATACAACAAACCTTTCAAAAATGTTTTCTGTAACAAAATCAGTATATATAAGTGTTCAAGATCTTTATAAAAGTTTTGCGACTTGGAGTGGCAAATAAGTTTAAAAAAATTGAAGTTGAAGCATCATCCTTTTTTTACTATCAGGGCAAATTTGAGTGTGGATAAAATTTGCCATACGGTTATTGAGTCGACTAGTTAGGTTGAGGAGCATTTCGTCATCCAATAATTGTTTTCTTGATTCATTTATACAGCACTTGTAGTTATCAAATTTTTATTCATTATGTGGTCACCCTGATAAATGAATTTAACTTTTAAGTATAAATTAAACTTACACACGTTTGGACCCTTGAAGATTTTAGGGTGTTTTTTAAATTTCTTTTTGTTTGAAAACAAAAAGAAATTTAAATAACAAACCAATTATTTTAACACTGAATCAAAAACAAGTTTGTAGATATTACTTACCATTGGTGCCAAACAGTGATGGTGCATTTTTCTTAAGACACTTATTACAAATTATTTGGTTATCCTTAATATGACGACTGCATATTTAATGTGGTATAAATTGCATCACTACCAATATCTGGGAGTGCTTTATTGTTTGTTGCCGAAATACATCTTCCCATCGTTTGAAAACATGCTTAAAATTGGAAGGTGTTGAAAAGTAAATCTAGATTCTAGATAAATCAAAATTCAATACACTTTCAAATACAATAGCTATTTTAATTTCTCCAAGTTTGAAGTTTTGACGAGCTGACAACTGACATGACATTTCGGTACGAGCGCCATCTCGTTAATTGGAGTGGTACTAAATTACCAACCTCATGTTTTTCCATTTGAGTTACCAGCCCCTGGTTAATATCTTTTTTATTATTTGGTGATTTAGATCAAATTTGGAACAAATATATTAAACATGAACGCTAAATCTGAAGGTGAAATGGCCTCCAATAGGTGCAATTTAAAAAAAAGTGAGATTTTGGTAAATAACTTGTTTTACAAAACAATGTACCTGAAGGAATTATTTTTAACTTAATTGTTAAAATAGCTTTTTTTTCAACTTATTCAAAACTATTAGATTATTTTCCAGTTCATGGCTTTCTGCTTAGAAACAAAGGTTTTTTTAAGAAAATTTAACAACACTGTCATATGTAATTTAAATCTAAGATTCCAAAAACCATCAAATATACAGCATGATCTATTTAAAAAATCAAACTTAATGGCATTTCTGGTAAAACCGAAAGTCTCAATTCAAAATTATGTCTACTATACAGTGAGTATCATAAGTCTTACCCCCCTATCTAACTCGTTACTGGAGTCTTGTTAGGAAAATCGCCGAGACACGTCGATTTTTGATTTCAACAATGTACATTTTTATATAAATAGTTAACCCTTGATTTCATCCCTTACTGGAGTGGAGCAACCCTTTCGAAAAATTTAAATGGCATGGGGTGGTGAATGATAGCTCGTTTGAAACGGGGTTTCATTCTCTATTTAACCGTGCAGAAAATTTTGAAATTTACTTCATTACGTGTTGATTTATTAATGTTTAAAAATAACAAAACATTACAAACAGGAAAGCAAATAAACTAACAGTGACCTTATCTAATGACAAAAAGTCTTACTTCACGTCTAAACCAAAACCGATATCATGCAGGCCGAATTTTAATTCTAAGGATGAGTGTGCTACGTCAATTTTCGGTATTCTGAAACAATAATTATTCGAGAATTAATTAGGCAACACTTGTTTTGAAATATTGGTAATCTGCTAAAATGTGTGTTCGCCATTGAACAGTAGACTTGACATCCATATATTAAAATTGGCCGGATAACTTGTTTATAATTTAAGAGCTTATTTCCCGAGGTTACATTACTTCTGCGATGCAACATCAGGTAAAGTGCCTTAAAGGCTCCAGTGGCCTTGGCAATATGTAATTTGAACGTTAGCCTCCTGTCCAGAATAAATCCTAGATATCTCATTGAGCCTTTTGTATCAATAATTTGATTTTGAACCTTCAGTTTAGTGATGATTCTGTCGTGTCTCCTGTGTGTTAGGATCAGTCTTTCTGTCTTGGATGCATTTATTTTGATTTTATTGGCTTCAAAGTAGGGGACTAACGTTCTGTTCACATGTATGTCCAGCCTCCTGGTCGCGATCTTTGTAGAGTCTGATGATTTATATACACAAGTGTCGTCGGCGTACAAGGCCATCTGAACACCATTATGTCCTATGGGAAAATCATGAGTCATGATGGTATACAGATGCAGCGCAATTACCGAATCTTGGGGGTACTCCCGCTTGCACTATGTATGGTCCTTTACGCGTATTGGGAATTTTAACGTAGAATTTACGGTCTTGTAGGTATGTTTGAATTGTATTTACAATGAAAACAGGGTAATCATTCATAAACATTTTGTGGATTAATTTATCAGTCCAGACGGTGCCAAACCCCTTGACAGCATCGAGTGCAACTAGCACTGTTTGTTTTAAATTATTAAACGCTTCTTTTGCGTGATGAGCAATGCGTATCATCTGCGCTATTGTGCTGTGTCGGGCTCTGAAACCATACTGTTCCGACGAAATGATGGATCTGTCAGTTTCGTGTGTCTGTAGTCTGGTGATTAGTACTCGATCTATGATTTTCGCAATGCCATTTAATAATGAAATAGGGCGGTAGCTTTTAATTTTGGATTTGTCTTTCCCAGCTTTATGTATTGGAATTATATTTGCAATTTTCAGAGATTTAGGGTAATAATTATGAAACACTATTGCATTGATAATATGGTGAAATTGGACATACGCCTTTCTTGATATATTTTTTAGGAGTTTATTGTGTATTTCTTCAGCTCTCTTATTGGGTGCTTTTTATAACTTCTGCTACTTTTTTAAGAGAAATGAAAAGGTTCCTTGGTACATTTTGAGTGGGCATATTTCTGATTTCGGTGCATATTTCTTCGATTTCTATCTGTGTAGCATTATTAAATTGATCATTAATGACGTTATCCTGGTAGAATTCACCAAACGCCGCCCCCTTCTGGCCGTCCGTCGAGCACGTCATGTCATTGTATTTTAGTGTGGGAAGTTGCGAGTGCGGTTTTTTATACCTTCTCACAACTTTCCACACTGATCCGTCATGTATGTTGACTGCCTCCAGGGTAGCTGTCCATTTCATGTTTCGGTGTTTTTTTATTTATTACTTTCCCGATGTCTAATAGTCTTACCCTGTCAGCGGTTTGTCTATGTCTTTGCCAGCGTCGTCTAATGTAGTTTTTATTGTTGATTAATTCAAGGATGTCTGCAGGTAAATTTCTACTCACTAGTATACCTTAGAGTCTAATTATTTAGTTTAACTACCGTTAACGTGTAACACTTAACCGCACTACACTCTGCTTTAACATCACTGAACTAACTCAAAAGGCTTGGTTCTCTCAAGTCTTCTTATTAGATTGGCATAGTTGAGCAGCTAGATAATCTCAAGGTTTCCATGTTGAAGCAGTCGTTGTTGGTGACTACTGCCAAATTTTTCCCTATGAAGATCAGTATTGTGACAGTACCATGGTACATCGGCGATGTTCCTTAATACTTTATTCTGAAAACGTTGAATAACTTCAATGATACTTTGGCTGGCACAGCCCCGAAGCTGACGAATCGCTTCATTTTCACCAATTCCTTTAAATGTACTAATCTGAAACAAATTATAGGTAATTAAAAAGGTCTATTAATATTGTTTTAAATTAACTATAATAAAACAAACAATACTGATGCCTACACAAAACATGAAGCTCCACTTTTCAATCAGCTGTAGAACTAATAAATAAATCTGGTGGAGAGACAGCAAATGTAGGTTATATTTAAATAGAAATAAGATAAAATGCATATAAATTTGATAATCGAAATGGCGTCACTCGTCTCAGAGAAGAGATAGGTAATAAACCTAACCTAAACAAGCATTGTAATACTCGCCTCAATTTCTAAAGACATATTCTGCCTATTCTGCTTTCCATATGACAACAGCACAACGCATAAATAACAAAAAAAAGGAAATGACAAAAACCGACAATTCAAATCTATAATTATTTATAAAATAGGGTTGTTTCTGGCTGGACATAGGATGAAATAAAATTAATAAAATAACTACATACATATCCCATCTTGATCTTCTTACAAATTTTACAACATAATCCGTCTAGTAACTTTTTGTGTAACATTTATACCATGTTTCAGAAATATTTTCAGTGAAATATTTAACTAAAATATTTCGGAAACTTGTGTTTGAAATGTTGTATGTTTGAAGCTTTTGAAATATTTCTAAAATACTTCTGAAATAATGTGTGCTGTATGGGGTAGCCTAATTATTATAAATAACTTAGTTAAATAAAATATTTTTAATTTGAAAGGAATTTTAGAAATTATAAACTTAAAGGAAATTAATTAGGTCTACAAATTTTGGTCTGTGGTTGACCTTTCAACAAACCAGTAATGTACGTTTAGTTATATTTATTATTAGCTGTTACTGTGAACATAATGTCCAATCCAAGTTTTTAGGAACCTACTTCACCAACCATGCCTTTGTTAATATTGTTTTCATTGAACTAATATAGTTTCTTAATTTATTTCTCAGGCCAATATGTTACTATTCAAGACGACGTTATCAGCCACGTAAATATCACCAATATAAAAGCAGAAGATGGTGGCGAATATACCTGTACAGCGCACAATACGGTGGGGAAAATTTCACATAGTGCAAGAGTAAACGTCTATGGACTGCCTTACATTCGGGAGATGCACAAAATAACTGGAGTCGCTGGAATGAGCCTAATTATAAAGGTAAGTAATATTGAAAATCCACATAAATAAATTGAGTCAACATATTATTTAGGAAAGGAAAAACTCAATGGCATGAACTAAATAATGTTAAGACAACTAGCTTGGTTCCACAATTATATGCCTTTCTGATTTTGATCTCCCAATTGTTTTTGTCTATACATTTTTAAAGATGTCATTAATTTTAGGTTTAAAAACTTCCATTATCCAAAGGACCCCGCATATGTAAATTGGAGACCGGTCAAATTTTCTGAAACGTTGTTATGTTACTGTACTTAATCCTATTACTAGTTAAAGTTGAAAATTGCCTAGTTTTTCGAAATTTTTATTTTCTAACTTACGAGGGATGCGGGTATTGTTGAAGACTCTGTACAATGAGAACAATAACTTAGCCATTTGATAATTTAACACAACAGATGCTTGGTTTCTACATCAGACAAAACCAAATCAGTATAATAAATCCAGATACTTACATCCTTTTGAAGGATACACATTCATAAAATCAATACGGTGTGATTCATCATGCTAGAAAAAAAACAACACATGCCAGAGGCGTAATATTACTCCACGATCACTGTTAATTACAATTACACAGTTACTGTTTTATTTTCTAATTAACTTTCCTTGTTACAGTGTCCCGTTGCAGGTTATCCGATCGAGACGATAACCTGGGAACGAGATGGTCAACTCCTTCCGATCAATCGACGCCAACGAGTGTACGCGAACGGCACTCTAGTGATTGAACAGACCCAAAGGAGGGAGGATGCCGGCACGTATACCTGTCAAGCTCAGAACCGACAAAGGAACACGGCAAGAAGGGACGTCGAGATACAAGTCCTAGGTTAATATAAAATAATATATCTTATAATTATTTGTCTTCAATTGGTATTAGCCAATATTTTATACATTTGTACCATGGAATTTCGGAAATGAGGAACTTTTAAAAATATTGCCATTTTAATATTTGGACCCAAGAAATTCGACCTTAAATGTTCGTCAAATATTAATGAATCGACCATTATAAAAATATTTAAGCCCTATTGAAAAAATTTTATCATGAATATTTCGAAATACCTATAAGGTTAAATTAAAAAAAAAAAATGTTACACTTGCCATAAATTTTCAATTAATATATTTTTAGTATAATTTTCTAACCCGTTGCTTTCTGCTTTCTTGTAAGTAGCTGAAAATGCTTTGCAACAAAAATCTTAATTTCAATATAAAAGATGAATTCCTAACTTGCCATCACAAAAATTACTGAATTTCATTGTCACCTCGTCAAACATATGAACTATAATTTAGTGAAAAAATTAATTTGTGATTATTATAAGAATATCTAGTAAAAGATTGTTAATATTTTTAATAAGTTTTTCCTATATTTTCCAATATTTTCCTATATTTTCCTATATTTTCCTATATTTTCCTATATTTTCCTATATTTTCCTATATTTTCCTATATTTTCCTATATTTTCCTATATTTTCCTATATTTTCTATATTTTCCTATATTTTCCTATATTTTCCTATATTTTCCTATATTTTCCTATATTTTCCTATATTTTCCTATATTTTCCTATATTTTCCTATATTTTCCTATATTTTCCTATATTTTCCTATATTTTCCTATATTTTCCTATATTTTCCTATATTTTCCTATATTTTCCTATATTTTCCTATATTTTCCTATATTTTCCTATATTTTCCTATATTTTCCTATATTTTCCTATATTTTCCTATATTTTCCTATATTTTCCTATATTTTCCTATATTTTCCTATATTTTCCTATATTTTCCTATATTTTCCTATATTTTCCTATATTTTCCTATATTTTCCTATATTTTCCTATATTTTCCTATATTTTCCTATTTTCCTATATTTTCCTATATTTTCCTATATTTTCCTATATTTTCCTATATTTTCCTATATTTTCCTATATTTTCCTATATTTTCCTATATTTTCCTATATTTTCCTATATTTTCCTATATTTTCCTATATTTTCCTATATTTTCCTATATGTTCCTATATTTTCCTATATTTTCCTATATTTTCCTATATTTTCCTATATTTTCCTATATTTTCCTATATTTTCCTATATTTTCCTATATTTTCCTATATTTTCCTATATTTTCCTATATTTTCCTATATTTTCTTATTTTTTCCTATATTTTCCTATATTTTCCTATATTTTCCTATATTTTCCTATATTTTTCCTATATTTTCCTATATTTTCCTATATTTTCCTATATTTTCCTATATTTTCCTATATTTTCCTATATTTTCCTATATTTTCCTATATTTTCCTATATTTTCCTATATTTTCTATATTTTCCTATATTTTCCTATATTTTCCTATATTTTCCTATATTTTCCTATATTTTCCTATATTTTCCTATATTTTCCTATATTTTCCTATATTTTCCTATATTTTCCTATATTTTCCTATATTTTCCTATATTTTCCTATATTTTCCTATATTTTCCTATATTTTCCTATATTTTCCTATATTTTCCTATATTTTCCTATATTTTCCTATATTTTCCTATATTTTCCTATATTTTCCTATATTTTCCTATATTTTCCTATATTTTCCTATATTTTCCTATATTTTCCTATATTTTCCTATATTTTCCTATATTTTCCTATATTTTCCTATATTTTCCTATATTTTCCTATATTTTCCTATATTTTCCTATATTTTCCTATATTTTCCTATATTTTCCTATATTTTCCTATATTTTCCTATATTTTCCTATATTTTCCTATATTTTCCTATATTTTCCTATATTTTCCTATATTTTCCTATATTTTTCCTATATTTTCCTATATTTTCCTATATTTTCCTATATTTTCCTATATTTTCCTATATTTTCCTATATTTTCCTATATTTTCCTATATTTTCCTATATTTTCCTATATTTTCCTATATTTTCCTATATTTTCCTATATTTTCCTATATTTTCCTATATTTTCCTATATTTTCCTATATTTTCCTATATTTTCCTATATTTTCCTATATTTTCCTATATTTTCCTATATTTTCCTATATTTTCCTATATTTTCCTATATTTTCCTATATTTTCCTATATTTTCCTATATTTTTCCTATATTTTCCTATATTTTCCTATATTTTCCTATATTTTCCTATATTTTCCTATATTTTCCTATATTTTCCTATATTTTCCTATATTTTCCTATATTTTCCTATATTTTCCTATATTTTCCTATATTTTCCTATATTTTCCTATATTTTCTATATTTTCCTATATTTTCCTATATTTTCCTATATTTTCCTATATTTTCCTATATTTTCCTATATTTTCCTATATTTTCCTATATTTTTCTCTATCTTCCTATATTTTCCTATATTTTTATATATTTTTATGTATTTTCCTATATTTTCATATATTTTCCTATATTTTCCTATACTTTCCCATATTTTCCTATATTTCACTAAATTTTCCTGAATATGTCCGAATTTTTCTGAATTTTCCTAAATTTTCCAAAAATTCCCTACATTTTTCTGAATTTTTCTAAATTTTCCTCGATTTTTCTGAATTTTTCTGAATATTACTGATCAATCCTAAATTTTTCTGAATATTCCTGAATATTGCTGAATTTTCCTGAGTTTTCTAATTTTATTTAGCATTATACACTGGCGAGTAACAAAATTAGGTCACTTAAGAAAAATAAAATTAATCAAGAAATCACTGGTCTAGTAGGCGGTGAATAGTTTATTTTACGATGATTGCTATTTACCATATTGGTTTTCTATCACCTATGATCACTGCATGTCAATATTTTATTTCTCCTTAACAAATATTTTTATTATAATGTCAAAATTACTGACGATTCTCAAACTGAATATGCTAAAATAATACACAGGGTATTCCATTTAAAAAAATTGAGTAAATTGAATTTAAAAATTAGCCATGTTATAAAACACTCTGTATAAAATAAAACAATTCTATTACCAGTGTTCGTTAGCTGAAGTCTGTACATTAAATAATTTTGAAATCAATGTAAACCTACTTTAAATAATAATCATTTATTTTTGGGTCTGCATCGATCTCTAATTTCATAAAAAAATTAATTGCTTGGCAAACTTATAATATTTTAAAGAAAAATTCTAGGATTAAATATTAAATACCGCATTACCAAGCTATTCTAAAACTGAAATAAAATACAGGGTGTTCAATATAAAAAAATATACATTTTTATTTGCCAGGAAAACTTGTAAGTTTCAAGTCTTCTTTAAACTTGAAAGTTGTAATTTGGCTAGCCGATCACAATACTTACTGTTTTGTAGGTTTGGTGGTATTTTGGTGACTCTCCTTTGTACACTTTACAGCAGTTCAATGTTTAACAAAGTATAAATCCCAACGATCTTTTTAAATTCTATCTTTGGTCTTATGTGAGTTGTGTACAGTTTCAGAATATCTTTGGAATGGTCTTTAAAAGCTCTTTTAATAAGGTGAATAAGACTATTGACTTTCTTCACTATGTTAGTAATGTGGGTTTTCCATTTCCATTTCCATTTCCATTCCAATATCCTTTTGTGTTTCGACTTGAGTTATTGCCTTTATGGTGTACTCTGAGTGGGGATTATTTGGACCAATATGCAATACTGTGCATTTATTTATGTTGAGGGGTAGTAGCCATTGCCGGGACCAGATACCTATTTTATTCAAGTCTTGTTTCATTTTGTGAGATCTTTCCAGAGGCTTGCAGCACATCCTTCCGTCGTCTGCATAATAAAAGTCGTCTTCAGATTTGATAATTTTGTATAAATCGCTAGTACATAAAATAAATAATAGGGGTCCCAAGACCGAACCTTGTGGTATTCTACTTTCTACTGGATGATTGTTAGTTGTCCATTTATTCTTACGCAGAGTTGCCGGTTGAATAAGAAACTCTTAATCCACATTAATAGATTTCCTCTTATTCCAAAGTGTTCCAGTTTGCTAAGCAGCTTCTATGTAGGACTTTATCAAAAGCTTTTTTATAATCAAGATATGTTACATTAATTGGCTGGTTGTTGTCATGCTTACTTCTTTTGTAAAATTCTTTTTATCGCTTTACCGATACAACTTGTAAAACTGACTGGACGGTAGTTTATGGGATTCTTTTTGTCGCCTTTCTTATTTATATAGGAGGACTATAGCCTGTTTCCAGTCCATTGGTAGTTCCTGTTTTTGCATAGAGTCGTTCATAACAGTTGCAAGGATATTAAGGATACTATTTAAAACAATTTTAGGTAAAAAATGGTGTGATTTCATTTATTCCAGGACTTGAAAATTATTATTTTTTTTTAACAATAAGTTTTACTCATTCCTTTAGTTCCGAATAACAATTAAAATGTTAATTTCATATTACTTAAATGTTAAATTTGGCTAAGAAAATACTGTTGATTCATTTACAACTTACAAACATAAGCGTAAAATGGACAATTTAAAAAAATGTAAATTTTAATACGACCAAGATTTTTTGCTCGCCAGTATATTATAAATTGCTCAAAATAGCTCAAAATGGCTCAAACTTTGTGTTATTTCGAGCTCCTTTAAACAATTCAGGAAATCTTTAAATTTATTTAAATGACTTCGCTCGCTGATATTTTTGCATGTGTTATTTTTCCGCCAATATTGTGGTAATATCAGCCTAAATATAAATGAAAACGCTTTTATGTTTCAGTTCCGCCGAAGATCCTGCCCATAAATCCGATGACGGATCTACTACGCGAAGGCATGCGAGCAGCTATAACCTGTCAGATAATGGAAGGCGATCTGCCTATAACTTTCCGATGGGAGCGTAACGGCAAGGTCTTGTCGAACAACGCGGCCCTTGGGACTCTGATAAGGCGAATAGACGAGTTCGCATCTTCGTTAATTATCGATCAGGTGACTTCCGCACACAGCGGAAATTACACTTGCATCGCGAGCAACGTCGCTGGTGCCGAGAAGTACGTCGTTCCGCTTACTGTCAACGGTAATTATTCCTCTTCTTCTTTTTATATGCAAAGGCGGGTTCAGCGGGTAATAAAGGCATAAATTTGTCTGGTATGTTACTGGGTGCAGGCACAATCGTTGTATTTTTTAAACTTGGCGACATTGTCTCCAAAATTATTCTTTTCATTATTATTGAAGATTGGAGCAGAGGATTAAAATTCTGTTTTGTTTTTTACATTTACATAAACAAGTTCTTCAAACAAGAACATCTGTCTTCACAATTTGGAAAAATGTCTGCTTAGATGATCGTCGCGATTAAGGGTAAACAAGTTCTTCTTACCTTCTTTTATGATTTCTACGATGTAAATTGTACTTAAGAGGTGATTTAGCTCAAATTGCTGATACTGCGTGAATTCATAAATTGACCAGGACAAATGAAATCAGAGTTGCTTGACCGGTTTGCGGGCCAATGTCTACTTTACGATAAAATGAAAGATATTACAATACGATAACGACAAAAAATGTTGAGAGCCACCAAGTTTTTGAGCAACTCGGAAAACTTCCCAACAAACATTTTGGTCTGGGGAAATAATGGCCCAGTAACCATCTGCCTCCAATTATAATGATGGCCTTTTATCTTTTTCCTACAATGGGCCGTCATATATAGGTCACTACGGTCGACAGCCGGGCCATAGTCATTTTGCCATCAGTAATAATTTAACGGGCTTTTTACATCCCAGAGTCACTTTGCCATCAATATATAGTTAAAGGGCCTTTAACAGCCCTTTACTGTTTCAACTGTAAAAACTTTGATGGCTATCTGCAGGCCCATTATTGGCCAATTTTTAAATTTCTGAAGTTTATTTGAAAATAAAGGTCTAGTTTGCGGAAAATGATGTTTCAATTACATTATTTCAATGCTGATTCTAATTAAATAAATCATTGAAATATTGTCAATTAAAACAGTTTTTCTTAAATTAGACCTGTATTTTACCAGAAAGTTTAAATTTAGCTATAGATGGGATTTTGATATGCTTATCAACTTAATCAGGTTATTTGGGATTTTACAAAGTTTAAGGTTATTCAAGAAAAATGACTACATTATACATATATAATAAAAAAGCAAATACTAGTAGTACATGAAAAAATATAAAGTACATACTTGTAGTACATAAAAAGAACGATCGCCTGAAGACCTCAGTCACCTCTTAATTGTTCTTTCCACGTCCGTAGTAGTGACATTTCGCGAAAGAGGATTTCTTCGAACTACACCTAAAAATCATAAAATTTATATAGTTATTCCATTCAAATAAAACTCAATATGTACATATTTTTAGTTTTTTGACTAAATAAATAAAGAGATGTAAAAAAATACAATCGTTTTAAAATAAGTACCAAAAAGAATAAAATATGAAAATTATTATACCTGTGATTAAATTGACAATATTAGTCAAACTTTTGAAACCACTACAATCATTCCGTCCACTCCGATTCATTTTCAAAGCTAAATTATGGGATTCAATTTTGGCTAAAATTTTACGAGTTGTATCATTGTAGTCTTTACCACCCACAACTGCATATGTGCCACTCTTAAAAAAGTGCAAAGAAATTTAGTTATTTATATCGTTTATGCACAATTGATAGGGTTGCATTACTTTTAATAAAGAAATATTGGTTTTCAATATAAGCTATAATAAAAGTAGCAAATTGTTTTTGTAAACATAAACTTATTACTTCTGAAAAAACTTCATCATCGCCAAGAACATTGCTGAAATCGGACAGACCGCTACAATCTACTAACAGTACCAACCTACAACCACAAGCAGAATGCCAATTTTAAAAATTAAAAATCCCACTGCTTGTAAATTGTTTTGATCTTGTATTTATGAACATCCAACCACTTAAACTGTTACCGATTAATTCACACATTTTGTTTTCTTGGCCAAAATCCACGTATATTCTGCAGATATTTAAAAAAATTATGAGCTCCTAAAAATCACATTCATATACATATTAGAAGGCCAATATCAATTAGGAATTGATGGCCCACTACCCATAAAATGTAATGGCCTTTCAACATTTAGCCAAAATGGTCAACTCCCCATCAATCGCGGCATTGGGCCAGCAGTTGATTGTTTGTTGGGTTATCTGATTTAATATGTCCTGTTAATTGAATCAGTCTCTGGTACTTAAAGTTATCTGTATGAGTTTTGGCAAATAAAAGAAAGTGAGAAAATTTAATACATTTAATAAAAAAAAGTAAAAAGAATGAAATTTTACATATAATAAATTAATAGTTAGTGATTAAATCTGAATTAAAATTAATTAAAATTGACTGATAGTTTATATGAATGAATAAAATTTACTGTTAGATAATTAGATAATTATTAATTGTCCCGGCCATGTGGCATTCTACTACAGTAAGTACGGTACTTCCTTTTTGTATGTAGTGTCGTGGACAATCCGCCTTTAGGTACTTCGATACTTGGGGCTTAGAGCTCGGAACTTGGAAAAACTACGTATTTCAGACTTCTTGTTTCTTAGAGCTTAGATCTTAGAGCTTACAAGCAACTACGTAACTCGGTACTTCCTATTTCTCAGAGCTTAGATCTTAGAGCTTCTTAAAGCAACAATGTAACTCGATACTTCCTGTTTCTCAGAGCTTCTAGGAGCAACTAGGAGCTTCTTGACTTCTTGGGGCTTCTTGGAGCTTCTTGAAGCCACTACAGGTTTAGAAATAAAAATAACTTCAATACCGTGTGTAAAAGTACATATACATGCCAGTTTGGAAATCTAACGGATTTATGCATAAAAGGGACAAATAATTAAAGTTGCATCGTTTAAACAGAATATAAAATATCACGACAAATATTAAAGTTACATAATCTGAACAGAATATAAAATATTTATAAGTCCAAAATAAGTTATAACAATAAGTTTTACATCATCTGAAGAGAATATAAAATATTTATAAGCCCAAAATAAGTTATAACAATAAGTTTTACTTCATCTGAACAAAATATAAGCTATTTATAAGGCCAAAATAAGTTAAGAGCCATAAATTTCCGTTTAAACTGTATTTCCAGACTGACTTGTAATTCAATTATTTAGTTGCCTCCTCGCTTGTATATCAAAGTATCAAAGAATGCTTAAAAATAGTTTTAGTTAGGGTAGCTATAATCTATATAAAATAAAATAAAGCACTTATATTCGTCGGCATGGTAGTAATAAAAAAAACAAATGGCCGATCTTTTCGGTTTCGAATAATATAAGGCGATAGAAACATTACCTGACAATTATCCCAACGTTAACACACAATAAACATATAAAAGACAGATAACTACTAGCAACTAATTTAATACATTTATCGGCACAAGCTAGCACGTTAAATTCAATACATCAAAAAGAAAGGTTGAATCCAAACGAATCGGTTTTATCACGACTGGTTGCCCAAAGAAACCGTATGGACCGTGCGCAAACGGAGCTTTCCAAATTTCGATAAGGAAGCAAGCGATGGTCGTGTACGTTGTATTACGAGGGGTTATGGGGAGGTTGTTGTTAAAAATAAATTTTAAATTAATTTAAAATTAATTTCACGTAACATACTGCAGTACAGAATCATCAGATAGAGAGTTGAAAGTTGTTTTTCTACGTCAATCGACTCTATCTATGGGAATTAATGTAACATGACGTTGAACATTTTCCAACATATTAGGTAAACTGGGGGAATATGGCAACAATTTATTTGACTCATTCCAACTTTTTATTTTTTTAAATTAGAGCACGCTAAATATAGAAAATGAAATGTATTATGCTTAGTTAACACAACAAAAATTTAGCAACAAGAATATGTTAAATACTAACTTAAAAAATGTTGCTTGAAAAAAAAATTAAATTGTGCCATGTTCTTCCATATCCCGGGAATATGGCAACACTTACCTGGGTAATATGGCAACATGGGCAAGTATTTTTCAGAAGGTGTGCATATTTTATGCAACCAAGAAAACCAGTTTACACATTGTATCCAATCGCACTTGGGACCTTTTTTGTCCAAATGGGGTCCATTACATTCTTTATAAAATTCGTCTTTGCCTACTACATGAAGATCTTCATCACTTGAACGTTCACTCATATTAAAGCTGTTCTACCGCTTTCCGTTCAGTCAAAGTTGAGAGATACCTCATCCATTTCATAGAATATCTCTGTACGCAACCCTCTCTTTGTTTATGTAAAGACAATTGTACGTGTAATAATTCTATCTTTCTCCGTTCAGTCTAATGGGTCGCTTATCTTTCTCTTCACCTGAAACGCGGGCTGGTCCAATGTGTCGATATATTGTCACTATTGTGTTGATAGTATTTTCTTTGCAGAGAATATTTTTATTTATTACTTGCAAAGAGCAAAATTTGGAAAAAAGTAGAATGGATCTAGAAAGCTTTAAAAGCGGTTCTACCTCACAATGTCTTAAGAGTTTGCGAATTTTTAATTATAATAGATAGCATGGTTATGAACAAATGGATACAGAGAATGACTTCCACGGTATCCAGATTTGAATTCAATTGATTCTTATTTATGAAGATTTCTCAAAGACAATAATTATGACATATTTCGTAACCATTCATTTATATAAAACTGATGCGCCACTGTTTCAATTCACTTTGTTCACCTTTTTTTGTCTCGATTAATCTAGGCAGGTTAGGGCGAGTATAGATAAATTAAATTATACGATCCAGTTAAAAGTTCGATGTCTTGAATGCAGATATCGGGTCGCGACCTCAAATATCAAAATGTAGGTACAGAATAATATAAAGTCTCAATCTTTTTACGTTGTTTTAAAACACATTAGAAATTGTATAATGTAAACAGGAAAATAATTGATAATACGTAGTGGTAAATCAAGCAAATATAGCAATAATTAATGTACAAGTATACTATACAGGGCAGAGCTGGGTAATTCCTAGTTAAAAAGTAATTGATAATTACAATTACTTTTTCCATGTAATTTGTAATTGTATTTAAGTACTTTTTTTTCTCAAAATA